CATATCTCACAGTGCCTATGCCAGTACAACATCAAGATCGAGAACTTCCTGCAATTTACATGATAGGGCAGTAAATAGAGGTTCAAGTGCCTCCCATTCGGACTGTCTTCGGCTCCATGGTGCTTCACCAAGCTCACATCTTCTAATATATTTAGATGGCATTTTCATTCTGGCTCAGTCTATTCAATTAATCCGGACATACCTTGCATGGACTTTGACTCTGTTAGAGAACCTAGGCTTCCTGACCAATTGGGAGAAATCCATTAACGTTCCCACGCAACAAATAAAATTTCTGGGTTATATTGGATTATTGTAGATTCTACCCTTCAAACTCTACACCCACCGGTGGCAAAATTAGCCAATATAAAGAAGGAGATAGGCGAACACTAGCAACCTCTCAACTCTCTCTCAAACAACTGTTGAGAATGTTAGGCCTTCTAGCGGCATCTATACAGGCCATTTCTACAGGTCTTGTTGGCTATCGAGCCCTACAACGATTACAAACTTCATCTCAAGGGCAGCGCATCATACACAGATATGGTAACTCTGGACTCAGAAGCGGAGGATGAACTCCAATGGTGGCTTCTTCACATGGAAGCTTGGAATAAGCACACCATATTTTGTACAGCTGCAGATTTTATAATCAAATCCGACGCAAGTTTGCACGGTTGGGGTGCTCAATGCAGAACTATTTCCACCAAGGGCAGATAATCAAACCTGGAATCAATACTCCACATCAATTGTTTGGAACATCTGGCCGGTTCCTTTGCAGTCCATAGTTTCTCCCCAACTCAAGCCCAATGCGCTATCCTTCTGAAGATGGACAACGTGTCAGCAGTCCGCTACATCAATCACTTGGAGGCACAAAATACAAAATTCTGACCTACATGCCTCGTGATTGCTGGCAATTTTGCCTGAGACACGGCAGAATATATTCAAGGTCTCTCCAACACTACGACGGACTGGTATTCACGCCAACTCAGAGATTCCAGCGACTGGCACTTGGATTCCATGGTCTTCCAAGACATCTGGAACCTATGGGGGTCTATTGGAAATAGATCTTTTCTCTTCTCGTTTGAATGCTCAACTTCCCCGTTTTTTCAGTTGGAGACCAGATCTGATAGCATTGGCTATGAATGTTTTCTCCAAGGAATTATGATTTTTTGCCTTTCCATCTACATCGCCAGTCCGGCACCTGTTGATCGTGGCTCCTCTATCGCCGTCCCAACCATAGTTCTCTTCTCTTCAGGAGATGGTTATCGACCTTCCATCTCTCGAGTGCCTTCTTCAGGATCCAGATGGTGTACCTCATCCTCTTGTTCTCCAAGGTCTCTTGAATCTCATAGTGTAGTCTATTTCAGGAAACCTTGGTCGGTCAAGGGAGTTTGGCAATCAACTCCCCAACTTATCAAGGGTGCACCCAACATGAGACAGGCTTATAAATCTACTTGGAGCAGATGGCATAGTTGGTGCATGAAATTAAATTTAAATCCCATATCGGCTCCTTTTATGTCTGTCCTCCATTTTTCTGACTTCTATGATGAAGGTAAAGCCTATCGCACTGTGGACCTTACCGATCATCCTTTTCTGCTGGCCATCAAAGTTTTGATTGGACGCCTGTCGGTTGACATCCTGTCATATATTGACTTCTCTGAAGAATATGGTTTGCTCATTCACCCTTACCACAATACTCTGTCTTGTGGGACGTCTCTATTGTCTTGAATTTTTTTTTTTCTTGCAAGAGGTTTTTCTGACGTACGAGCTCGTGAGGTGGTTGCTCGTTCCTTTACTCCAGAAGGTGTCCTCTTTGACATTTCACGGAGGACAAAAACCTCCTCTAAAATCTATCTCACCCAGTTTTCCCTGATAGATCTCTCCTTTGCCCTGTTGCATACTAATGTGTGTGTGAACATCGTTCTATTACGTTACAGAATCCTTTGAAACAGGAACTCTTCATCTCCTTCCAAAAGTCGCGTCTTCCGGTGTCTACTCTTGGCTTCCGGTGTCTACGTTATGTCTCTAGCAGGTATTGATACCTATGTGTCTGTGCCTCATTCGGTTCGTAGGGCAATGGTTTCTAAGGCTTCCTCGATTGGTTGTTGCTTGGAGGATATTATGAGAGCGGCTGGTCTTCGGAGTCTACATTCCATGATTTCTACTTTAGACCTATTCAACACTTCACAGAAGAAATAATTTCACAGCTTTGAACTAGCATAATAGGAGCCTCCGTGTCTTAATAAAATGTACAGATTTTACTATTAACATGACGTAAAGTCATGATTTTATTAATGACACGGAGGCGATAGAGATGTCGTGAACCGTCCGCGAATTTCTCGCGAACGGTTCGCCACGAACCGTTCGCGGCGAACTCCGGTCAGCTGACACATCCCGGCCAATCTCTGGCAGACCCTCCCTCCCAGACCCTCCTACTTCCTGGACAGCATCCATGTTGAAGTTCGCGGACGGTTTGCGACATCTCTAGGAGGCGAGTATTATCCCTCCCTCTCATCCCTGGAGGTTTGGTCTTCTCTGGGTAAGTTGACTTCACGGTAAGTCTTTTTTTATTACTGGGTTTTATCCTTGTGAATTACTGTCAAGAGCTTAAGCTTTGACTAAACTGAATTTCATGTTATGTATACATATATATATCTGATATTTCATGTAATGCCAATTTATGCATAAATCCAGTTTTATACTTGGCTATTACCATATTCTCCTTTCTCTTCCAGCTTGACTTCGAGATCCAGTTTAAGGCTCGTATACCCTCTAATTGGAGCCCACTTTTTATTTGGATTTGTTGTCCTTGTTCGGGATCGCAAGAAAGAGGAAGTAGTATACTGGACACTGCCTATTATGCTATAAAGAGGATGCTGATTGGCTGTTCCTGTTGCTAGGAAGATATACCTCATGTTATTTACTGGTTTCTTTTATACTGATTTAATGTTATTTTTCTTTGCTGCTGAGGTAAATAAAGAAAGAGTGCAGCATAATACTCGCCTCCGTGTCATTAATAAAATCATGACTTTACGTCATGTTAATAGTAAAATCTGTAAATTAGTGTCTGTCCCCTGTCTATCAATCATCACATTTTTAGGTGCCACAGGCTGAATAGTTCCGGAATTCAGAAAACCATCTATCCCAGGAATATTAGAGATACGCACAGGTAATTATCTGCCAACTTTGCGGATGGTTTTTTTTTCTGAGAAAAAAAACTTTTCAAACTTTTATTTTCTGAGAACTATAAATGCACATAGAAATGAATGCTAACGTCACCAACCAAGACAGTTTCGCTCTATCGGAGGCCCAAAGAGATCCCAATACCACATCCACCAGCTAAGTAATGAAATGTAAAAACACATTGCATGTACAAAAACAAAAATGACTGCTATAGTTTACTGTACTTAAGTTTTGACATCATTTTAGTAATCACACATGGATATATGGATACATATATAATTATATATCCATATGTGGGTATATTTACATGAGGTGCTTTTGTCAAAGCCATGGCAAAAAAAGAGAAGAAACCACCAAATCTAACCAGTGCTCATGAGTCTTTTTTTTTTTTAATAATATTTATTTATAATTTTCATAATGTTTAAAAAAATACATCTGAAACAAGACCTATGCACTAACCTAATGTTCAATAAAGGTGTCTTTGAATAAAGATTAACAAAAACGTATGTTCTTAGGGTAAAAGTCTTTTTTTCTTTGCCCTCTAAAAGACAATGATGCTTCACCAGATGCCTTTAGAATGGTCCTGGGGAAATTATCTATATCAATATTAAGAAAAACATGGCAAAAGTTATGTATTGCAATTATTTTGTATTGCAACTGCAACATGGCATGAAATGCTTAACCATATGTTCATGCTCACTGCCATACATTATACAGCACTGCTCTTTACTGCTTACTTTGACAGACAACCCAATGAACCTAGCAAGTGTGCCTTAGCAATTACACCTTGCAGTGCGTTATTCAAGCAATTTTGATAAAAATATCATAGACAAAACACCTACACATATTTGTAATTTTTTTAACTTTTTTTTATTTAGGTAGTTACAAGCAAGTTTCTGGTACTACAACAGCATCAACAGACATAAATAGTCAGACATAGTGGTATATAGGCATGGCAGGTAAATACTGTGCACAAATTTTTGTTTACGATAAGGTAAGGTCAAAACATAAGTAGTAGACAAAATAGTAATTGGCACCCTGAGAGCAGGCAGATTAAGCTAATCGATAGTGCTGGACACCAAGGTAATAGTCCAGAGTTAACTCAAGTTTTAGATTCCTAACAAGTCTAAGCTTAAACACAGAATATATGTACGCAATGATTAAACGGTATCTGGAGCACATTACTATGCAAGTAGACATGAAAGTGTTAACTAAAGAGGGTATCAACAGCTTAATTACATGTAAAGACCCTCAAGAGGCCCCTCCCAAGAATAAAAGAAAAGAAAAAAGACAACCCTACAAGGAGTCACGAGTATAGATAAAATAATAATGAGTGAGATAAGTAGAAGTACTGCAAGGTTTCTTGCCAGAAATACATAGCCACAAAATCAGCCTATGCCTTGCAGTGTCCGAACCCATGCCCTCCACAGTACCCCCAGATCGAGGCCTAAAAGCCCACTTGAATAGCGGTGCGGTGTCACTTTGTGGCTGTCAGGCAGGTCCTTTGTGGTCAGCAGTGAGCTCTCCAATGGTGTCAGTGCCCAACATGGCTCAGGATACAGTCCCTTCCCTTGGGCAGTCCTAGTGCTCTCATCGCCTGTTGGGTCCCTCTGTACACCGGATCCCAGGCGCATCTGCAGCTTCACCCAGAAGGACTTGAGTAGGCATAGCAAGTGGTGCAGGACATTGTAAGTACCTCCGTGAGGATCAGAGGAGCACGCGGCCTTCGCCATTTTGAGTGCTTTCAAATGCCTGTTGCTTTTGTAGCAGTTATGCCACGCACCTTCAGCCGCAAAGGGGAGCCTCCAGAGAGTAGACTGGGATCACCCCCACCGGTCCAAAGGGCGGGGGCTTCGATCAACAGTGTTGGTCAGGAGCGGAGATCGGCCGCTATTCCACTCACTAGGCAGCCGAGCCAGCTCGCAATCCCCCTGTAGCGTGGTCACCGGGGCAATCAAAACACACTCCAGAATCACCACAGTCCGTTCCGGAGCACTACCTGGGCAATTAGGGAACTTGATGGGTGCATAACATGCTAAAATAGCCTTTCTTAGATAGTTAATATGCCGCAGCTCATACAGGATGTGTCTGTCCGGCATGACCATCAGGCCCCGTCCCCCACCTACACATACTTAACATGTAAATGTTGTAGACTTTGCACAAATAATGTTTAGCTTGATAAACAAAGCCCTAAATTGTAAGTAGATTCCACTTATCTGCACTGGACTTAAAAAGCATGTGCTTTTTAACTACATATTTTAAATCAGACTATTCATAAAGATAAAATATTGTTAAACGCACATAATAACTAAATAGTTTCTGCATTTTCATTCTTTTTCTATTAGTTCTATTAGGGAATTATCCAGATACAGTGTAACAATGAGGTCCAATAATGAAATAATCAGTTGAAGGGTACATTGAATGGCTGCTCCAGCATGTATTGACGAAAACTCCTCCTACAGTTCTTCTTAGTCATTTACTATGGTCTTAGTCAAACTGTAAGCCCTAATGAGTTCTATAAAAAATTTGATTGCTTTCAGTGTATAACAAGAACCTATATTATAAACTCCACACCTGCTGTGTGCTATATTAACCCTTCACTCCTCTGCATTAAAACCCTGCACCCACAGCAATACCCCCACACTGTGTAGTATAATGAGCTCCAAATAGGGTGCATTCAAGTGGCACTGTCACTTATTATGTAATTGTAGGTGTCAGGATTACTAGTTGATCCAGCATGTAGAATTGTGTCCCAACTAGAACTAAACGTAACATCTTACCGTGCTTAGAGTGGCCAGACTTAATGTATCAGAGAATAGTCAGAATACTTGCCAAGGTCAGGGACACAGAAAGAGGCACAACAATGAGAAAAAGCCAAAAGTCAGGGATACCAGAATACAGGGAAGTCAAACAAAGCCAAAGTCAATAACCAGAAATAAACGCTCAGGAACACACTCTCGGACAACCACTAAGGGAAACCACGACAGGGCAATGAGAAAATGCAAAAGGAGTTAAATAAGCCTCCCTCATATCCGATTGGCCATACCCGGCCTTTAACCCCAGAATGTGCGTGCGTGTCCTTTACGTGACGTCACACGCACGCTGACATCGTCAATACCGTGTGCGGATGTGGGGTTACAAATTGGTGGGGCCATCCGCAGTTGCCGGCATCCACTAACATGCTGCAGGAGTCAGATACATTGACGCATAGCCGCTGAGCGGAGTGGAGTACCTGGAGGTGCATGAAGACACACAACGCCACATCACATTCCGATGTGACACTGATGTACTCCACCTTCACAGGGTTTCAAGAAGTAGCGGGAGTATGAGATTTGGCACGGGGTGGGGACGACGCCATTTGGGGTATACCAGAGGCCGGACTCCGGAGTCGCATACTGGCAGCGGCAAGGTGAGTTGCACATAGAAGGCTTATCAATAAACTGCAATCTTTAAGTTTGGATTCAAATATTGTTGAATGGGTAAGGCAGTGGCTGAGTAACAGGCAACAGAGGGTTGTAGTTAATGGAATATATTCGAAGCTTGGACTTGTCACCAGTGGGGTACCTCAGGGATCTGTACTTGGACCCATTCTTTTTAATATTTTTATTAGTGGTATTGCAGAAGGTCTTGATGGTAAGGTATGTCTTTTTGCTGATGATACTAAGATATGTAACAGGGTTGATGTTCCAGGAGGGATAAGCCAAATGGCAAATGATTTAGGTAAACTAGAAAAATGGTCAGAATTGTGGCAACTGACATTTAATGTGGATAAGTGCAAGATAATGCATCTTGGACGTAAAAACCCAAGGGCAGAGTACAGAATATTTGATAGAGTCCTAACCTCAACATATGAGGAAAGGGATTTAGGGGTGATTATTTCTGATGACTTAAAGGTAGGCAGACAATGTAATAGAGCAGCAGGAAATGCTAGCAGAATGCTTGGTTGTATAGGGAGAGGTATTAGCAGTAGAAAGAGGGAAGTGCTCATGCCATTGTACAGAACACTGGTGAGACCTCACTTGGAGTATTGTACACAGTACTGGAGACCGTATCTTCAGAAGGATATTGATACCTTAGAGAGGGTTCAGAGAAGGGCTACTAAACTGGTTCATGGATTGCGGGATAAAACTTACCAGGAAAGGTTAAAGGATCTTAACATGTATAGCTTGGAGGAAAGACGAGACAGGGGGGATATGATAGAAACATTTAAATATATAAAGGGAATCAACACAGTAAAGGAGGAGACTATATTTAAAAGAAGAAAAACTATCACAACAAGAGGACATAGTCTTAAATTAGAGGGACAAAGGTTTAAAAATAATATCAGGAAGTATTACTTTACTGAGAGGGTAGTGGATGCATGGAATAGCCTTCCAGCTGAAGTGGTAGAGGTTAACACAGTAAAGGAGTTTAAGCATGCGTGGGATAGGCATAAGGCTATCCTAACTATAAGATAAGGCTAGGGACTAATGAAAGTATTTAGAAAATTGGGCAGACTAGATGGGCCGAATGGTTCTTATCTGCCGTCACATTCTATGTTTCTATGTCTTCTTGTTGGCTAGAGGGGGGTTCTGGGATTTAGTAGAGGGGACTGGGATTTAGTAGAGGGGGCAGCTGTGGTTTAGTAGAGGGGGATGTTGGGTTGTTTTTTTTATACTGTACATTTCAAAATAAACCTACGTTTCTATGAAAATATACGTTTTGTTTTTTTTTGCGGCCCACATAAACTTAAACCTTTGAGTTTGACATGCTTGATCTGGATGTTTGAAAAGTCATATTGATGCTGTGTTACTGGACCTACTCTGATGTTTTCTTTGACCTTGTGTCTGTCTTTCTGCGTATCTTTTTAAGGATATACCCCTGTTACATGCTCACAATCTCTCCCTAACTCTATGTCTGTCTCTCTAGGGTTTATTTACTAAATGGGGCATTGTAGTAAGTGTTCTGAAGATCATAATTACAAAATATAGTCAAATATTACTCTTTTTGAGAGATTCTTAAATTCACCTGCAGTCAAAACTTGGAGATTTGAGCCTAAATATTACTATTCAGATTCCAGTACATTACAATACACTTTTTTTGTAAACAAACCCCAAAATGTCTAGTGCAATAAACTATTCAAGCATATGTTTGTATAAAATTTGACTGGGCCATATGAAAGTAAAAATCTATACTCTATGAAGCATCACCATCCTCTAAAAGCATTGTCTTTAAAATCATATATAAAAACTGGCTGCCCTGGGTGATCAATGCAATGATCACTTGAGTGATGACATGCTGTCCTTATGACGTCACACCATATTTTGGGGTTTTTGCATTTGATAAGATTGTTAAGCTACAGAGGGAGTAGCACATTTTAGTATAGTGATTTGTATACATTAATTTCCTTACATAGGCATATGTAGTATTAAGATATAGTGTAGGACATGAAAATTAGAATCTATTACTTTTAACCTATAATAATAACATAATAAAAATTATATTTGTATAGTTTGGGGGGATTCAGTTTTTTTTTTTTACCAGCATTTATATTAGGGTGTATCATTACGCCCTAACGTCGTTAAAGCCCATGCTATTTGGAATATAATGGCACAAATCAGTTAAATAAATAAAATAAAAAAACCTAGAAAACACATAAGAGATAGTTACTCATTTACCTGATTAATAGTTGAGACAACAACAACACAATCAGCCTCACTTGGGATATAATCAAGAAGAATTCAAGAAGAGGCTCCAGTCCATATCAGCTGGGAAGTCAGTCCAAGGAGGGAGTCAGTGCTGAGTAATCAATCTAAAAAAGGTTTAAGCAAAGGACTCCAGTAGACCTGTCCAAGGTCCAGAATCATGTGGGGTCAGATGGGGATAAAGCAGAGGGGTGGGTATTCAATAAGTGGTTCCAGGTCAGCCAGAGATCAATCCAAAGTGTAATTAGGTTTCCTAAAGCCAAGTCAGAGGTTTGTACCAGGTAACTTGTCTGATGGGGTAGAGCAGAAGAGGTATAGTCGAATATTCAGTTCTGAATCATCCAGGTGTCAGTTCAGGGCCGGACTGGGGATTCCAAAGCAGCCCTGGAAAAAAAAATCTATGTCAGTCCCATAAGTCATTGCGCCATATATTGTTGCATGAAATATGTAAGGCTATGTCTTGTCACCCTAGATGATTGAGATATATATATGTATATGTATATGTATATACATATACCTTTTACCAATATAAAATATTGGTCCTTTCAGAGTAAAATTTTTAATTATACAGTAAGCATACTCACATGCAGACACAGCCAATCTCACTGACACAAGCTGATTGATACACAGCCTCATAGACAAACAATCTCACTGATTTACATAAGGTAATTGACATAAAAACACAAGCTCACTCAGTAGCAGGCACACACACAAACAAGCAAGCCCACTCACTAGCAGGCGCGCGCACACACATAGCTTAATGTAGTGGCTGTGGTGTCTATAGCCTGTACCTGCAGGCTTTTCAATGTAAACACTGACTTTTTAGAGAAAAGGCTGCGTTTACATTGCTTCCTAGTGACAGACACTCAGACGGTCACTAGAGGTGCTTCCTGTGTCAGTGCAGATTGGCTGAGATCATCAAGCTTGATGATCTCAGCCGTAGAGGCAGGGCCAGTCAAGGGAGACCAGCACGACATGGGGAAAAAAAAAAGGTGAGTAAGAACACACATACACACACACATACCATGACAGACACACACCATGACACAAACAGACCGTTACACAAACACACACACACCGTGACACAGACAGAAACACAGACACACCATGACAGACACACCATGACACACACACACACCATGACAGACAGACACACACACACCATGACAGACACACACCATGACTGACACACACACATACCGTGACAGACACACACCTTAAAAAAGACACACACACACCTTGACACACACACACACCATAACACAGACACACACGCATCGTGACACAGACACACATTACATGACACAGGCAGACACACACACCATGACACACAGACACACACACACACCACGACACAGAGAGACCGTGACACAGACACACACACACCGTGACACAGACAGACACACATTACATGACACAGA